GTAAAAGACTTGTGTACTTTTTTTTTTTTTGGCAGTAATGAGATCTGAACTCAGGGCCTTATGCTTGCTAAGCAAGAGCTCTACCACTTAAGCCATGCCCCCAGGTGTGTCTAATTTTTTAAGTGTACATGTTATATTTAAAATTAGGCTACAAGGATTCTTTAATAAAGTATAATCAGATACAGTCCTGATGATTGTAAGAAATATTTTTATTCTGATTTCATGTGATTTATTTAGAGTTCATATCCATAATGTTACAGGTGACAGGTCTTTTAAAAGTTTTAATTGCTGGCTTCTTCACTCATTTCATGAGTGGATAGAGTAGAAAAGCATCCTAACCACTCACTGTTAATGTAAGTCAGTGACTACAGTGTTGGAACAGAAATCAGGCCTGCCTTATTGATGTGTTTTCTCACTTCTGAAATTGGAGTATGGTTACTCTGTTACCATGGATATCTACCATTTAAATATTCAGGGTTGTTGAAAATGTTGTCTTGTCTTTGTTGGACCTCATAATAACAAGCAGTAAATTATCAAAGAGGATAATTACAAATTATATGTTAGGATTAATACAAAGTCAAAATCATTTACTATTTTAAATTTGTATTGACTCTGTTGTGATTAAAAACTGCATCTGTTTGAATCTTTTTTAACAGCTGCTTCAGTTACTGCTACAGTAAATATTAATGATTTACAGATTCTCTGGGAAAAGAAATGCTAACTACCTGATAAGGCAGGATTTTAAACTTTAGAATGAAGTAGCATCTTAGCATTTGAAGTAGCATCAAAGCATTGGCTTTGCTGATATTTTCTTTGCTTATAGTCCTTTCGTTTTTAAAGATATATTTGACTAGTCTTAGAGCTTGAGAAATTATTTCTATTATTAACCAAGAAAGCTTAGAAAATTTAAAGAGTAATTTTGCTGTCTACATGAAACCTAGAGGTGCAATCTGAAATTACACATCAGCTGTTACAGAAATGAACTTACTCATAAAATCTGCTGCATCCTGCAGAAAATATGGCAGAGGTTTGATTTAATTCCCCTTATGTGTCACAATTACTGATTATAATATAAATATATCAAATATTGTCCATGAAAAATATAGTATGGGTCTCATTAAGCATTTTTATTCTGAAATATATTATCAGTTATGAAATAGAAAATTGCTAGCCTAATATACAGGGAACCCATTGCAATTAATTCTGCTGTACAACTGCTATTCTAATCCCATATGTCCAATTGACTACTTGACATTTCCACTTGAGTGACCTTATTATTTAATGCTAACATGTTATCTGATGCCACTTCCAATTACAGTGTTTCCATAGAAAATACAGATTCTGCATTGTGACATGTCTCATAGTACAGTGAAAAATAGCTATTGTCTTTTCAAAGGACATTTGTGCTTGCTTATCTCCATGATCACTATATACTCTATATCCCACATTGCATTCTTTCATTCCAAACTACATCCAAGGAAAGACTGCCTGGTAGGACTTGTGTCCTACCTATTTTGGATTGTGTCACTAGTTGTGTGACTCTTCCTGGACATTATTTTCCTTATTTGTAAAATGAAGGTATTGGAGTAGAGCAACTGCACCATTGCTTCAGTTCTCTTCCTGTAACACTTTACTTTGTTTTTGGTGGTCCAGGGTTTGAACTCACGACCTTGCACTTGCTCGGCAGGCGCTCTATCACTTGAGCCACTCCGCCAGCCCTTTTTGATGTTGGGTGTTTTTGAGATAGGGTCTACAGAACTATTTCCCTGGGCTGGCATGGAACCATGATCCTCCTTCTCTATGTCTCCTCAGTAGCTAGGATTACAGGTGTGAGCCACCAGTGCACAGCTTAAAGTTTTTATATGTCACCCTTGGTGGGTTATATGATCATGAAATGTTACTGTTTTTCTTTTGGTCTCTGTCTGACTCCTTAGTAACCATTCAGTTATCAAACAGACTAGTAAGTTATTTTTCATATCTGTTCCCTTTTTTCTTTCTACTTCTTGTCCAGGCTTATCTCACAACAAGAGCTTCCTGTCTAATTCCAATCTTTCCTTACTCTGTTTTATCCCTGTAGAACTTTTTCACCAATATTCCCTACAGACCAGTTTCATCAAGTTATTGATACTTAGAACACGTTTAAAAGTAAGGACCCACTTCTACAAGTCATTTGACAGCTTCTGGTTCTACTAGTTCCTATCAGTTGAGCACCAATTTTCTGTTATAATTATATTGTTTTTAATCTCACAGTGTGTTTTTTTCCATCTGTGATTTTACTAAATTATTTTCCTTACCCGAATGCCTTTTTCCTTTTCACCTTCTGTTATTGTGTAATACTACTTGTGAAACTTAACTGAGCCACTTTAGCAATAGGTCACACTCTCTGAGGACTTTCACTACCTTTTTAAAGGTCTAAAAACCATGGCAAATATAGAAAAAGAAAAATACATCTTATTGTCATCTGTGTGTCAGACATGTTCTCATTTAAACCTCTCAGTAGTTCTTTTAGATCAATGACATCTTCCCCATTTTACCGAAGACTGACTTAAAGAAGTGAACTAAACTACACATGATCATACCTCTAGTGAGCAGTGGAACTGGGATTTGAACTCTGGGGATTTTTACTTTACCCGGGAAAATGGCCAAAGTACTATTAATTACCTTTTTATACTTCCTTACCCCCTACAGAAACCACATAGACAGAACTAAAAGTACAAATTTAAGCACTTAGTATGTAGTCTGGTACCTAGCAGATATTCTTTAAAGATTTAAATGAAAAATTTTCTTAAATTTTGAAAGTATAGGCATTTTGAGAGTTCCTTTTTTCTACCTCATTTGTCAAAGGAGTTTGAAGTAGGGGAGGCCTTTCATGTGATAAGACGAGTCTCACTATGTTTTAGAACCCTTGAAGTTTTTCATTAAGTAGAAAAATAGCAAAATATTTTATTTTTAGCTACTAAAGGCTGAAAAGAGATGGCCTTTAGTGTGTGCATTTGGTAGTCATTCTTTTGTAACACTGACTCAATAACATTGGGATGAAGGGTGAATAAGTCGAGCATTGTTAATTATTGAGATTTTAAAAGAAGTAATACAAATTATTGGAACTCACTAATATACTTGGCTTCATCAGTGACTGTTAGTAAAAATGGGGTTTTAAAGAGTAGTACCTGCAACAAAATTAGAGATAAGGGCAAAATAGTTTCTGCTGGGTATTGAGGGGGGGAGCGGGAGGGGGTGGAGTGGGTGGTAAGGGAGGGGGTGGGGGCAGGGGGGAGAAATGAACCAAGCCTTGTATGCACATATGAATAATAAAAGAAAAATGAAAAAAAAAAAAAAAAAAAAAAGAGTAGTACCTGCTTATGGGGATGTAGAAAGAATGGTCTCTTACTTAAACAGTTTCATTTTAAATGTTGTGGTCATCTTGCATAGTGATTGATCCCATTTTTGTGACTTCACTCATCTCTTCTACACGATTGATTCCCCAGTGACTGCCTATAATCCCTTGTAACTCTCACGATGTTAATCCTACAGCTTCAACTCCTGGCTAGATATTTCCATTGGTGACCTGTCATATCAGACCTAGTATCTGTCATGTACTATATTGTATATTTGTATGTATATGTTATTGTATTACCTTCCCAAGTAGAATATAAAGTTTTTGTATAAAGACCATGACTTACACTCCTTTGATCCCTCTGTACCTGTTATAGGGCTATGCCTATAATAGGAGTCCAAATACTTATGACTGCAATAGTTTTCATGATGAAAGCTCTTCTCTTTTGGTAACTTCCAAAGCTTAGAAATTGTCCAGAGTTCAGATATGATTGCAAACTGTACAGAACCAAAAAAAAATTAAAGGTGCTATTTTGTACCTTGTAAACATGAATGCATTATCTTTAAAAACTGTTAAGTGCTCCTTTAGAAGAAATGATTTTATCTTTTTAGATGCATATCTTAAATACATTAAATTAAATCCATTCTGACTTTTGGAGGAGATGTATATACTTACCACTCTGTGGTGATGGTTTTTCATGTATGTGTATGTGTCCAAAAATATTAAATTTATACATTAAACATGTGCGGTTTTTATCAAGTATGTACTAGTAAAGCCATTAAATCCACTTTTTAAAATAGGTAATATATGTTTTTACTGTTTGTCTTACTTTAAGCTGATTTGATTTTCTATGTGTTAGGCTTCTTTTTATTTCTCTTTTGTCCATACTTTGTCTTTCTGTTTTCATTATATTTCTGGTCCTTAAAGTGTTTTGCTTTATACCGATAGCATATTTTAAATTAATTGTTTTAAGGTTGTTAATACAGATTTGAGGACAAGACCACAAATTATTTGTCTTTATGTCTAGCACAGTGTCTGGCAAAAAAGCCAATTAGTGGCAGCTCACCCAGGTTTCCTGAGATGGAGATCAGTATTTCTTATTCATTATTCTGTGTAGGCCCTAGAAGTATTGGCACCATAAATTTAAAACTTTCATGATGATTGACTTTTTTCTTTTGGAAGTACTGAGGCTTGAATTCAGGGTCTTGCACTTGCTAGGCAAGGTGCTCTACCACTTGAGCCACTCTGCCAGCCCTATGATTTACTCTCAGTTCAGCATTTTAACAAGTTATGATTGTGACTTTAAGCTTTTGGAAAGCATCTTTTATTGAATAAGTAAATATATGCAAAAATATATTGATATCGACACTTTGTATAAAATAGGTGTGGATCAGAATTAATGTCCTCTGGTTCGGTATTTGCCATTAGTCTTATATTAAAGTAACTTTATTTGTTCATTTTTTTTTGAGACAGGATCTTGTGAGTGTATCTCCAGTTGGCCTTGAACTTGCTGTCTTCCTGCTTCACCCTACCAAGTGCTGTGATTATAGGTGTTCACCACCATACCTAGCTAAAGTGGCTTTTAATTAATGTGTGAGATGTGGTATTTAAAATGTATTTAAAAAATTTTGCATTTCCTCCCCCTGCCTTTCCTATTTTTATGAAGTTACCAGGCAGTGACATTGCCAGTGGGAGTGATGTACTTTCTGATGTCATACCCAGTATTCCCAGTTCACCTTGCCTGCTTCCTAAAAAGAAAAACAAGCACCGGAATTTAGATGAACTTCCTTGGAGTGCAATGACAAATGATGAACAGGTAAAAATGTTGATATTCTTATACATTAACAGTCTTAATTAAAAATATATGTGTTCTTATTGCCTCTTATGTTTTTTCTTCAACAAAATTGGAGAACAAGAGGGCAGAACAGGTTCTGCCTGGAAGCGAGGGGGGTGGGGGGTGGGGGGCAATGTATACATATATGAATAAATGTAAAAACAATTTTAAAAAAAGGAAAAAGATAGTATGCGTGTGGAGAATTTTATTACCTATTTATAACTACTGGGTAAATGTGGATTGCTTAGTAAATCTAAATTTGAGCTTTAGAGCTAACTTATCTTTCAGAGAACAAATACAGTACTCAGTGCTTCTGATATGTAAAACACATAATTGACATACTAAAGGATTAGAAATTGATGCTTTTTGTTGTGATTTTTCATCAAATAGGTGGAATATATTGAGTATTTGAGTCGTAAAGTCAGTACTGAGATGGGCCTTCGGGAGCAACTTGATATTATTAAAATCATTGATCCTTCTGCTCAAATCTCCCCTACAGACAGTGAGTTTATTATTGAACTGAACTGTCTTACAGATGAAAAACTGAAGCAGGTATGTAAAGTAAATACAGATTGTAGATACCACCGTCTTGTAAAATGTGAACTTGGATAATCATATGTACATATATAGAGAATTAAGGTCAATATTACTTTTTTTGTGAAAACGTACATTAGAAAAAATTGATAGTGGGACTAGTGATAAAGATCAGTGGTAGAGCCTAGCCTGGGTTCGATCCCCAGTACCACAAAGAAAAAAAAGGTGATGGTAATATTTGAGAACATATGATTTTGAGAGGTTTTATGTACATCTCACCTGGTAGTACCTTTCTGGTCAATGTGGATCTTCAGTTATATAGACTTTAAAACTTAATTTCACCACTTATGGGATAGTTAAGTATAGATTTATTCTAACTCAACTGATAAGAGGTGTATATTGACAGAACCAAAGTACTAATTAACAAGAGCTATACACAAGAGCTATACTTCTGAGCTGAGGGATTTGCATAGTCTTATGGAATAATGGAGCCTGAGTAGAGTGAAACCTAATGAATTTTCCCTCAGATATTCTGAAATGTGCTTTTCTGTTATCTTCTAAGTATAGTTTTTGCTGCTTTCGTCTTCTCTGATCCATGGCTAAATGAATACTTTGGTTTTAATGTTCTACTTTTGGTTTGTTTTGTATTTAACCATTTATGATAAATTTCTCTCATTTTAGTATTTCTTTCAATAGACATAGACTATAATTTTCCACAATCCAGCCATTTTCATTAGTATGGTAAATTGATGTCTTACATTTGAAGACAGATACCATTGGCCACTTGGAAAAAAGAACATAATCATTAATTTATTTAAATCATTATTAAAGGAGACCTTTAACAAATGCTTAATCTCATTTTATTATTTTGTTAGTTTTTATTTCAGTGTTTTCTTACAGTCCTACATTCAGAAAGCCAGTAGCCTTCCATTTGCTGATTATGTTTTATATGTTTTTAAAGTCGTAGTCCATAGTATGTTTTCTAGAATTTGGAAAATTGTCAATTTTGGGGTACTTGTTTCTAAATTTAGAGATATCTTGTGCCCTTGTACTCTTCTGCAGCAGTTTTGACAGTCTATTGGATTAAGGACAAGGTGATCTTTTTTTCTCCAGCATCTTGAGGGTAGAACATCAAGGTACAGCACTAACCAGTTTTTGTCCATGTGTCCCAAGGTCAGAAACTATATCAAGGAGCATAGCCCTCGCCAGCGGCCTGCAAGAGAGGCCTGGAAGAGAAGCAACTTTAGTTGTGCAAGTACCAGTGGAGTGAGTGGTGCCAGTGCCAGTGCCAGCAGCAGCAGCGCCAGCATGGTCAGTTCTGCAAGCAGCAGTGGGTCCAGTGTTGGAAACTCTGCTTCAAACTCCAGTGCCAACATGAGTCGAGCACACAGTGACAGCAACTTGTCTGCAAGTGCAGCAGAGCGGATTCGGGATTCAAAAGTAAAAAGTCTAATCAATACAAAACTTTACCTTTCAATATTAATATTAGTACTCTTTCATTTAAATTTTTTGAAGAGTGAAAATTGTCCTACTATCTAGATGCCTGTGGGTGTTTGTTTTAATTGAACAAGCAGGATGTTCTGCTGTTGAACAAAGCACTCTAGGCTGAGTGCTTTTGAGTACTCTTTTGACCCACAACTACATTGCATTCAATTTTTTCTGATTTTTGTGTCTGTTTTAAGTAAGCTATATTCACAGAAATAATGAGTAATTCTCAAAATTGCATTATTGACTGCAACTCACTACTAAGCGAATCTCACTATGTTGCTGATGTTGCTGTCTATTAGCTCCTAAAAATGTTGCATATGTCTTTTGTGTGTGTGTGTTGTGTTTTCTTGATGTTTTGGTCTTGACTGCTGCTTCTTAGCTGATTTTAAAATGTAATAATGCTAACTCTTCAGTTTAACAAAATTTTCTGTGATATTTTTGGGCACTTTTTAAAAAAAGGTATAAATGTATGCTTCTGTGGCTTAGCAGGGGAGTTTGGTTCCTTGCAATAGCACAGAACCTGGACCCAGTTTAAAGGTGAAAAAAGAATCTATTTAACTCTTTGGAAATCCATTGGTTACTTGATATACAATGATTCCTTTCCTGGCTCTTACTAAAGTAGCAGAAACATAGTTGGGGGATTTCTGTGGATGTGAAGTCATTCCATTTTGGCATCTGTTCACCAGTGACAAGGAACAGAGTACCCACTGAGTTTCTAATGGGCTTTTAAGAAGGTATTTGCCTAATAGGAAGAAGGCATGATTCTTTCCCAGCCATTATAAAATTGCTAGTGGCTTTCGGTGAAAAGTAGCTTAAAAGTGTAAGCATTAGAGATTTGGGCAATTTCCCTACATTTTGTATTCAATATTATCCCCTAGTATTAATTTTGTTTTCGCTATGCCTTGATACTAATGTACTCTAATTTAATTTAAAAATAAGGAGGGATGGCTCAAGAAGTAGAACACCTGCTTTGCAGTTGCAAAGCACTGAGTTCAAACCCCAGTCTGACCCAAACAAAAATATTAAACCACTTAAAAATAAGTCTTAAAAGTGTCTGGTTATCCACAGCTAGCCCAAATGATCAAGTATCAGCCTTTCCTAGCCAGAAGACTCACTCATCAAATACCATAAAAATAGAGTCTTAAAGAATCATTTTCAAGTCTAAGCCATGGCTAACTTATTCGTATAAGAATCGTACTCCAGAGGAATTTGAACAGCTCTTAAAATTCAGAAAATAGGGAATTGATCCACAAAACACCTTGGGGTAGATATGCCAAGAACTAACCTTACTGATTTAGAACTTTTCACATTAACAGAAGCGATCCAAGCAGCGAAAGTTACAGCAGAAGGCTTTCCGCAAGAGGCAGCTGAAAGAGCAGAGGCAGGCCCGGAAGGAGAGGCTCAGCGGGCTCTTCCTTAATGAAGAAGTGCTGTCCTTGAAAGTAACGGAGGAAGATCATGAAGCAGATGTTGATGTTATGATGTAATAAGGGTGATTTTGTCATCATTCTTTCCAAGCATTATTCTATCCTTATTAGTTTACATGCATCTTAACCAAAATTTTGGTTAGGGCTGTGCTGATGTACCATTAATAATTTGGGCCAGAGGTTCTCAGGGGGTGGTCTCAAGACCTGCAGCTTCAGCATCACCTGTGAAGTCATTAGGAATGTGGACTATTGAGCCCCACGAGAGACTTAGTGAGTCAGAAACCACATAGGGTTGGGAAGTCATTGTGTTTTAGCCAGTGCCAGGTTATTCTGATGTACATTCTGATTTATGAACCATAAGTAAATGTTTTGACTATTTAAACTTTATGGTGGTTATGTGGGCTTTTTCAAAGACTAGTACTTTTACAGTTTTGGAGATTTTGAGGTACTGTTGACAAGTAGTTTATTACGTCAGTGTATGTACATGTGTAGGGATCATAGTTCAATTCCATTCTTAAGATTTCTTTGTTTACTTTTTCTAAAGGGCCATAGCATAATTCTCAGTTCCTGATGGGAATCTTTTTTGAGGTGAGAGTGCACACAAAGTATGGATTGCTGTTTTTACAATAGTGCCTTCATTAGGTTTAGTTCTATTTTCATTCATTATTAACTCAAAGGAAGAAAAGGCCCTAATCTTTTCCCAGGTAGATTTGTTTTTGTTTTCATTTTAATCAGAATCCTTTCTATAAGTGATGACTACTGAGGAAATAATGCTACTAGTAGCTGAATTTTAGATTGAATGCTATGTTGACTAACATTCAAATGGGGAATGCCATTAGGCAAGATAATAAATTCTGCTTTTTCACTGCTTTCTGAAATTTTAGGGTATAAAATTTTTTTCAGGCAAAATCTCTCTCTCTCTCTTTCTCTCTCTCTCTCTCTCAATTCTTTTTGTAGGCCATTTTTTTTAATCTAGCACAGCTCTAATTTTTAAATATTTGATATAACAGCTTCAGGCCTATGAACAGGTTAATCTTCTAAATTAACTGATGAAAGCCCTTTAGAGTTCTAAACTTCTCTATGAATTGCTGTAAGTATACAGAGCAGTGAGACTAAGAAACCACCATAGCTTGTTGGTTATTAATAGAACTCTAATTTTAAATGTAAAATCATTGAATTTCTTTAAATGTTTTCACAGTTTGTTATCATGAACCTAGAAATAGTGTTATTCCTTTTCTTCTACCACATCTTTGAACATCCACGTGGGTTGAAGATAGAAACTGATACTACTGACAATCAAGCTGCTTTCTGACTTTAATTTTCTTTTTATTGTGGATAACATTTAGGAAGTAATCTGATTCTATAGGAAGAGTTATAATGAATATTTTTTAAATTGTATAGTTTAGACGTTAATAGTATTTCTACTTTTCTTAACATTAGCTCATTAAAAGACTAGCAACTTAAATTCTTAATTCTCAGTTGATATAAAGACTTAAACTTTGCTTAATTAAAAATGAAATTTTCATGTATTTTAAATTTTTATTTCATTTTGGTTCCTTGAAGGTTAAAGAATTGAAACTGAGGATAAAAATTAATACATTGAAGCTTTTGCTCAAGTCTGGTATGATTATAACATTTTGAAGACTACTAAAGTAAGAATTTAAAATTTTACTCAAATGAAAACATATACATATATATGATTTTCAGTGGGAGTAGTCTTTCGACTTTCCTCCTGCCCCCTCTTTGGTGCTCCTCACCAACTTAGAAGGCCCAAAGAAATCTTGGGGGTAAATTCTAGAATACTTGGAAGGGGGTAGAAAGGATGAACCTCATTTTGCCTTCCAGATATAGGAAGAGCAAAGCAAGAGAAGAGCAAAATACATCTGAATTTTCAACCTGCTCTTAGCAAAAGCAAAATCTTACAGAGTGATTGCCTGCTGTCTTTTCCTATTTTTCAAAGAAAATTGGCCACATTTGGAGAAATAGAGCAGCAGCATTTATCTGTTACATATGTGGAAACTATTTGCGTGCTGGCGATCAGTAAAAGAAAAAATTCTAAACAGGGTCATGTTGTAGTTTAAGACCATTACTCTGTTCTTCCAACAATCATGTAGTTTTATTATATTTAACTTAAGTCACTATTATACAAGTTTACCAAAGTGCCACAAAGCAGATTTTTAAAGTTCGTGAAGGTTTGAGTGTTTATAGATGTACATCATGAAATTTTCTGTAAATCTGTATGAACTATCTTTGCAGGACTTTAAATTAGATAACATATTAAATTTATTTGGAGGGGATTAAAAACATTTCAATTAAAAGAAAAATTAGTCTTGCTTATGATCTAAGAGGGACATTATGAAGTGTTTTTCTATTCCTCTAAGACAGAAACTGGCATAAAAAAACAAACAAAAAAGTCCTTTTGTCTTTGCTAGTTCTAGATAGAATATCAGTTCTATCCTTTTGACCTGTTTTAATTCCCCTAAGCTTGAATTGTGTCTTTTTTGGAATAAGTAATAATTTATTCAATGTGGTATCTCTTTGAGTTAAATTTAAAACAAATCCGTCAGCATTTTTTCTTCTTAAATATAAACCATAATTAGCCCATTAATAAAATGCAAAACTTACTTGCTTCAGTGTTGCTTCTCATCTATACAGAATTGACATTAGAGCAAATAAGTCTCCTCTTTAAAAATAAACCTTATTCAGCTGAGGACATGTTAAAGTCCCTGCAGACTTATCAAGAGACCTTTTATTAGAGATATTGTAATAAGATGTCAGTCCTATCACAGCTTTTAAAAGTATGAACCTTGACTTAAACAAAATGGCATGTATTTTTCTACAGTTTTGCAACTGATTAAAGAAAGGTAGTATACTATAATGTATAGTGGGGTGTAAAGGGCTAGTTTATTCTGTTCCATCAAGAACTTAGAGTAATATGACACTTTTTTCCATGGGACTTATCTCATTTTTTTGTTAGACAGTGGCAGTTTACTTCAGTTCTCTGTCCCTTGGGTAAATTAGATACTACCGAATTAATCTCAGAAACTGACTTAAAAAATAATGGCCCTTTATAAATTGGGTGAATGTCTCATTTTATTTAGCTTTTAAAAGTGCTAAATCCCCTCATAAAGGAAAAATTATAAGAAACTATTGTATAAAGTTATTCATATACAGATGAGCTTTAAAAATTGTAAAGTTTATCAGATGTCTTCATATTTAAGCCAAAAATGTTAGGACATAAACAATATAGATGTCTTATTTGTTTGGGTGATCTAGCAGACTTTTTTGTTCATGGCTTATCCTCTGTAGCCTCATGTGCCTTAAAGGTGATGAACTCTGTACTTTTTGTTAATATCATCCTTTTTCAAACTCAAAAATAATTAGAATGTTATAATTCAGTATGTATAGTACCCATGGTGTTTGGATAGCAGTAAGCAAAACCATTCATTTGAACCAATCTGTAGTACTAGAGTATAAAACCAAAACAAAACAGTCAGATCTTAAGTTTCCTTTGCATAACTTTGTTTTTGGCCATCTGGGTCATCAAAGAACCCTGAAAGTTATGTAAAGCATGGCTTAACATATTCTCTTTTTCCCTGAAAAAAGTGAAAGGCCAGGATACTTTTACGTTGTGTTTTTTTGAGACAGGATCTTGCTATGTAGCCCAGGCTGGGTGACCTCAAACTTGAGATCATTTTGCCTCAGCTTCCTGAGTGCTGGGATTATAGACCTGCACCATATGCCTGGGTAGGATACTTTTTTAAGCAGGTAAACTTTTAGTTATCTGGAAAGATAATTTTCATGGTATAGTCAAAAGCACTAGAACAACTGAAATTACATAGCAAGTTGATTTGTGTTGTTAACTTTAGAGATTCTTTGGATTCGTTTGTGTAGTAGCTGAACCACTCCACTCCCCTTTCCTTTAACAGATTACCTGTTAGCACTTCTGTCTTCAGAAGGCTGCTTGTTTGGAATTCATGGGGTTGGGGAGGCATACATAGTTTATGGTTTGGGACAGCTGATAAATTCCTATTTGCATTATAAATAGTGTTGATGTTGAATGCCCTGACGTTCATCATGTCTAAATTAGAGGTAAACTTCATCTTGAAAAAGACTATTAGTTAGGAAATAAATATGTACTGTTGTGACTTTGCATTAGTTTTAAGTCTGAGAAAATAAGATAAATTTTATCTTAAAAATGAAATTATGTTAAGTGTGTAAGAAAACTATCTTGAGATATTTTGAGCTAGGCATTTCTGTCAGCATAGTATTTGGAATATACTCCTTAGAATATTTAGGCCTTACCTCTTTGGAAAGGAACTCTGAAAATTCCTTTAACTGGCTATTAAGAGTAAGGAAGTTGCATGGTATAGCTAAAGATCTGAGTTGGCTTACTATGTTATTTTCATTTTTTAAATATTAAAATTACTTGTTTTCAACTCCATCCCCAATTAGTTTTTTAAATTGAGGTTACTAGTCTTTTAACCTAGATTAAATAATGGTGATTTACATTTTAATTTGACATGCCAACCTCAGAAAAACTGGTTTGGTCTTTGCTAATTTCACTATATTACTTTTCTTTATTGTCATGTTTCTTTTGTTGCATCTTTGTGGTGAATGGAACCTGTGGAAATCTGGTTTCTTTTTTGTGATGAGGGTTGGAGTGGAAAAAGAGAGTTGCTTAATTATGCATCCACATTTTGACTATGTAAAGGTAGTTGTAGCATTAACTATAAATGACAAGTTAACACTTTCTATTCTGAATTGTTCTAAGGAATAGTGGCCTAAAACCATGACCTGTTTTGTTTTATTGAGCTGCTTGCTCTTTAACAGCAGCTGACCTATTGGATTTAAATTGAGACTTTTGGGTTATCTAACCAAGGCTTTTAAGAATGGAGCTGATAATGTCTGTTCCTATAGTGGGTGAATTTAATTTCCTCTTTGAGTACTCTTACTTAGATGTAAGTACTGTCCATTCTAGATTTTTGTGTTGGGGATCTAAATAGGACTGTTGTCAAAAGATATTAACAATAAACACAAGTATATGTAAAACATTTCATAGATGGTTAAAAATTTCAAATTGTTTCTGGTTTTTTTTTGTCTCTGTTTTTTAGTTTCAAAAATTAATGTAACATCATTATCATAACCAAAGCAAGTAGGAAGTTGACTGGTTTGGAGAATCTTCAAGTAGTCTTAAATACTGTAATGTATCAGATTGTTAACCAGGATTTTTCCCTGTATTCCTGCTAAATGTATTACTATATTAATGCACTTTTGTATATATAACTGTCTTCTGTAAATTCTGTACTTACTACAGTGTATATAAACCCTGGTTTTCTGAAGCTGTGTTGAGGGAATAACAATAGTTGTAACACAAGTCCTTTCTATTTTGAGTTCCTTGTACTTGAAAGTAGTTTAGTAGTTAAGTCTAAATGAGTATGCTATAGTTGTAATTAAAACTGGCTATGTGAAAGAGCTGTCTTTTGAACTGAATATCAGAATGAAGTGTCATTTTGGTTATCAAGAATAACCAAATAATGTAATAACACCATTTTTATTGTTTTTTCTTTGTACTTTGAGTTTTATTTTCTTACAAATCCCACTGCTCTTTACTGTTTTCTTCTGATAAACCAGATGCTTTCATTGTTTATCCCAGAACATTTGCCAACAGAGAATTGCTGTCTTTTCTTTTGCTTGTAGTTTGATTAGGGTTCTATTAACTTTCATTTTGTTATAGCCCCAATTCCCCAATTTACCAAATGTCATTGGCAAAACTTTTTTCTGAAGAGATGAGATTTCTAGAGAAATTAGTATTGAAAGTAAGTGAAAATTAGGACTAATTTGTGTTGACAAAAGCGATCTATTTTCCTTATGTATTGCTTTAGAATCTTTTTAAGTCGTGATTTTGTAAAAGAAATCTCTGGACAGTTTTATGTATAGACACAGGCAGGAGCAGTTCAGTTTTTCAGTAGCAACTTTATCTCTTGCCACTAGAGGGAGGTCTATAGTTGCTGTCTCCTTTCAAAATGTGTTAGCTGGTTTGCTTTTGTTTTTAATTTTGGTGGTTGGTGTAGACTTATCTTCAAAATTCTTTTTGTGGTATTAAATACTTTCATGTATTAGTCAAAAATAGGTTAATTAAGCTTGTTTAATGAAGGCAGACTTATTCATGCTTTCTGTAATCTTCAATTTTTAATAAATGTGAGTTAAATATTAAGAAAAATGTGTGATTATGTGTGTGTTTCTTCTTTTAGGTACTCTAGATCTCTACTAACTTTATGGTAGCCACTAGATACATGCAACTATTTAGAGGAATTAAAATTAAATAAAATTTAAAATTTTGTTTGTTAGTCTTATAGTAATGGTTCAGATCATTAGTCTGTAGCAGTACTTCAAATGCCTAATAGCCACATGTGGCTGGAGGCTACTCTCTGTGTTGGTAAACAAAGGATCTAAAACATTTGCATTGTCATAGAGAGTTCTGTTAGTGCTGCTGTAGAGATTTGGTGGTTTATGTAATGGCTATTACCATTATTTTCCAGTGAACAGTAAACAATGGCTAAAAAACTGCTGCCCCACAATGAAATACTGAGATTGGCATGAGGGGGAAAGTAAGTGGTATTTCATTTTATGCTTCATTGAAGCCACTACCAAAATTTGGAACTTGGTGGTTTACTGGAGGATTTCCTCAAATATTGACCATTTC